TTATTATTATTATTATTATTATTATTATTATTATTATTATTATTATTATTATTATTATTATTATTATTATTATTATTATTATTATTATTATTATTATTATTATTATTATTATTATTATTATTATTATTATTATTATTATTATTATTATTATTATTATTATTATTATTATTATTATTATTATTATTATTATTATTATTATTATTATTATTATTATTATTATTATTATTATTATTATTATTATTATTATTATTATTATTATTATTATTATTATTATTATTATTATTATTATTATTATTATTATTATTATTATTATTATTATTATTATTATTATTCGTCTAAATGTTTACCAATATTCCTAATGTTTTGATGAAATAAACTAAAATTAAACTTTTTTTTATTTTCATGATGGCTTTATTATTATTTCCATTTCTTTGTAGAATACAAACGTAATATACCGGGTGTTCAAATTAAAGTGTTACAGTCAAATACCGCCGAAAATATGCATTTTAGAAAAAAAGTTTCAGACAAAAGTTTTATAGTTTTTTGGGGGAAACATTTTGGCTAAATTAATTTTTTTGTAGCTGACCATAATATAGCCATATCGAGATGGACTTTGTTTTTTTAAATGAGAATCCCATTTTTTTCTTACATATTCTTAAAGTACATAAAAAAATAAGAAACTTTTGAGGGAAATATTTTTTTTATTGGACTTTTACTTTTTGAGTAACAGCTACTTGAAAATGTTGCTGCGCGAAAAAAAGTTGGCAATATTATGGTTAGCTAAAAAAACGATTTTAGCCAATAGTTTTTCCCTACAAAACTATAGTCTGAAACTTTTTTTTTTTTTAAGCGGTATATAGCTGTAACGCTTTAAGTTGAACACCCGATATAATAAAACTTTCGTTCCTTTTCTAGATAACAAATCAAATTATAAATCTAACGAAATGATTAGAATAAATATTGAAAAATGGGTGAGTTATTATGTTGTTTGTTATTATACTTACTATTAACATTTCTATTGTTTTGTAGAATACAAACATATACCAAAACTTTTGTTCCTTTGCTAGATAAAATTTTCACGTTGACTTTTTATTATTAGATTTTATACTTCATTGTCAATGTTCTATTGTATTATTCAAAATGGAACAATACATTACCTTCATGCTGAAACTAATCTTTAATCTATGTCACGTTTTGTAAAGCAGTAGGACTCTTGGCGTTAGAAGTGTCATGCTACTGACTTATAATAATCAGATGTTAATTTTCGGATACAAAAGAGCAATGCTAATAATAGACGGTGCTCTATAAACTCGTAATTGTATTATATTTGAGCAAATACAAAGAACGTTGGAATTATTTATATAGAAATTTGGTTTATTGAGATATACATATTTAAATGCAATTAAAAAATCTTATTAAAAATAGGTAGCAGTTTAAAACTGCTTGTACGTGATATACATAACACATACAGTGTGACAATTTAAAAATTTGGATGATATTAAAAAATACTTAAAATCATTTCTAGGATAGAAAGGGTGAAAAATTTGAGTATATACAAAACTCACCGATTTTTACAAAAATTTGAGAAAATGTTGAAGAGACTGTTTATAATTCGGTACCATACTTTTTTTTAGCGGAACTGCTATTGCACCTTATTTTTTCGTTTTTTATTTTGAATCTTTTCACCATTTTTACTTTCCTATCTGTATACAGATATAAGGAAAGTATAGGAATCATGATTTTTTTCAACCTCGAGTTTTCGACGGATTTTTACGTTTTGAGGTCCCCTGAATCCGTTTTGACTATTTTCGCGATGATGTCTGTGTGTGTGTGTCTGTGTGTCTGTGTGTGTGTGTGTGTGTGTGTGTGTGTGTGTGTGTGTCTGTATAACGCATAACTCATGAACCGATACACAGAAAAACACCAAATTTTAAACTTAAGCTTTGTTTCAGCGTCCAATGAGCTGATTAGATTTTGGGCAGTGTCGGAACATCTGGGGGGGGTACTTTATAGGTGGTCATTTTTATAGTTTATGGAATATATCTGTTATTTACGTTTGGAGAAGAAAATTCTTCAAATAAAAGTTACTTCTAATATAATTATCTATAATTTTTGTTTTATGCAAAATTTTCCTAAAATGGTCCGTATTCGAGAAATTTGACAAAATGTAAAAAACATAATTTTTTATAAAAATTGTTTAAATAAAAGTTGTTTATAATATAATTCTCTATAATTTTTGTCCTATACATAATTTCTCTAAAATGGACCGTATTCGAGATATTTGAGAAAATGTGTAAATTTCGAAATTTGAAGAAAACTCAAAAACGGATAAAGGAAAAAACATTAAATTTTAAACTTAAGGTTTATTTCGGCCTGACGTGAAATGATTAGATTTTGGACAAAGTTGGAACATCTGGGGGGGTACTTTATGGGAGGCCGTTTTTATATTTTATGGAATATATCTGTTATTTATGTTTGGAGAAGAAAATTGTTCAAATAAAAGTTACTTCTAATTTTATTATCTATAATTTTTGTTTTATGTCAAAATTTCCTGAAATGGTCCGTATTCGAGAAATTTGACAAAATGTGCAAAATTCTGATTTTTATGAAAATTGTTGAACTAAAAGTTGTTTGCGATATCGATTTCTATAATTTTTGTTTATACATGATTTTTCTAAAATGGTCCGTAATGGAAAAGTGCTAAATTTAAATTTTTCTGTATTTTCGTTTTCAATGAATATCTATAGAAAAATGTTTCGAGGTAGATGTATGTGTAAAATGTATATATTTAGTTTATCCTCTAAACATTTATAGAGATGCTGCAATAGGTTGTACAAAATAACCGGAAAATGCCTATAATAACTAGATAGGAAAGTCATGTGTTGGACACATCAGATTTTTTGAGTAAAAAGTCATAAATCACTAATGATCCGATGACACGATGACAGAACTTTATTGTTTATAATCGATATATTCTATAAATCGATATTTATGTTTTGATGTACCTATCTACTGTAAAATTATTAAAAACAAAATACAGAAATAATCATTAAAAAGCCATTTTAACTATAAAGTAAAATCAGCTGATGAACTAACGCAGTTAATATCATGTTTTAATTTGTTTATGCCATAATTTAGATTTTCTGAATGAAATTCGATTTTTCCTTTAAATTACAGTGTTGCCGGTGTTTTTATTCAGAGTTGACCCGAGTAAATAAAAAAATACCTAATAATTACTTTCTGACATTTAAATTTTGTTTTCTTTTTAAAAAAGTTAAAATTATACCTTTTAAAATGTTAAATTTGATAAAATTATTTAAAATTTGTGAAAATAACGTAGAAATGATAGAATTTTTACAAAAGTGGAAGTTAATACCAAAAGAAGACACTTTTTTGTGTCCACTATGCAAACAGCCGTTAAAACTTTATGTACATGCAAGATCGTAAGTTGACAGAAGAAAGCGAGCGAAGCGAGCACGCCCGGCCGACGTTTCAAAATTCACGCGAATTTCGAAAGTCGGCCGAGCGCGCCTTTTTTACACCTACATCATAATCGCAAGGTACGTTCGTCCCATCCACCTCCTAACCTATACAGAAGAAAATTACCTTTTCAATGATGGTCACACTTAGTACTTTCCCTATTTCAATTTCATTGGTAATAGTGACAGCGGGGTGGGGAGGGATGTAGGATAGTTGAGGATATGATCCAAAGATGTCCCATTTGAAATAAAAATCGACCTCTTTTTGCATTTTCTCCAAAAAAATGTGTTCAAGATATGCGATCTGTTTCGTTTTCGGTGCCTCACCCTGTATATACCTTTCTTTAACTTTAATATTTTCTGGATAGCGTAAAGAGTATAAAGTTTTTTTTTTATAGATTTTAATAATACAGTTGTTATTCTTTTTTCTTATAAATTATTTGATTTTAAACTGGTATTAAATTTTTATTTATATAATATTTTAATTTGATATGAACCTTTTCTATATATTGTAATTTTCAATTAATTTTAAGTAAATCTAACTTAAGTTTTTTATTATCTCTAATTCGTTGTATACGTACTGTGCCGGATTTTTTTGGTTGCGTACAAACATGTCATAATAATAACAAAGCATCAGAAAAATATCCATAATATTATAGCAGATAACGTTTTGACGTCCTTCTTTGTGGACAGGCCTCTGAAACTGACAATAAGAACTGATTTTTTTTTAAAGATAAAGGAAAGAAAGGTCCTTTGAATCTCTCAAAGATATTTATTTTTTTCCTTTCTCAAATTGCGACCGATTTCTAAGAGAGATTACTTCATCATTTGGCATACCTTGTTGAGAAAATTATAGAAAACGAGTTTACTAACAAATATAGGGCAATGTTCCTTAAGAAATTTTCAAAAATAATAATGAACTTGAAATAAAAAGTGAACGTAGACCACGAAAAAGAAAAATAACTAGGAGGGTTAAAATGGAAAAAGTCACAAAGAAACATTATATTATTTAAATAGACTAAACCAGATTGATTTAATATTAGTAGTGATGCCGCCAGACGAGAGATTCTCGTCTCTCGTTTCGTATTCTCTCGTCTCGAAAGAGACGAGAGAGACAGTTTCTCTAGAAAACAGATTCGAGACGAGACAGTGTCGTCTCTCGACGAGAATTTCTCCTCTCGAGCTCTCTCGAACAATTTTCTCTTTGCTTATTTGAAATTTTCAATTGCTTATCGTAACTTAAAATTTTAACATTTACTATATTTAAAATGGAAAAGAATGTACATTAAAAATTAATTTAAAACTTATTTACTTTTACTCCTCCTCCCTGCGCCAGCTGTACCATTGTAAAAATTAATAAACAATCATGCAAATGAAGAATATTCATGCTAATTCAAAATAATGTAAATAAATTAAAAATTAAAATTATAAATAAAAGTTTATTAAAATAAATGTAAAAAAAATCACAAATATTAACATTAACATGCTTTGGTTCGTGCTTGTACAACAACTAAGACATACCTATATTCAGAGTTACAAGGCGCCGCCATGGCCAGAGCCTTGTACCTAGCTTGCTTATCAGTAGGCAGCACGATATCGACAGATCTAGATCTAAGAGCAACATTTGGTCCGACGGGAACTTCCAGGCTAACACCGGAATGTTCCAGTTCTTCAGTCTTAACTTGCGATACTTTGGAAAAACAAGAATCTACGGAAGCGGCTCTATCTCGTTTCAAATCCGGCACCTGGAGGTAAATATCTTTAACCACTAGAGTCATCGGGGTCTTATCCGATACAGCTCCGTCCGAAGAAAAAGCTTCGGACGGACCATCAGAAATGCTTTCTAAAGAGTCTCCGGAAGGTTCCCCGAAGAAAGCTTCTTGCCGATGAATGGACTTCCGTCTGGATTGCGTAGGAGTCATTGGCACTGGAGGAGGCGATTGTATAGGCTCCGGAGGTATTTCTGGCGATAACGTTACTCTTATACCACAGTTGGACATTATTTCTTCCTCGCAATCGCTAGAAGATTCGCTCATACTGAACGACGGTTGAGGATTATCATCTTTATCCTTATCATCTTGACTACTGCTCTGACTATGCGTTCTGTTGTACTCCTCCAAACAAATGCAGTGCACGCAAACCGGGCTTTTGCTTCCAGATGACCTCCTCCGATGGAATTTTCTTGAAGGAACCTCCAAGTAATTTCCCCCCGATTCGTCGCTGCCCCCCGAATCGACACTCTTAGACCTCTGTCCTGGAAACTGCGGTATGTTGAGTAAAGCATTTTGGTCCGGTTTATCTGATGATTGCAAACGTTTGGCCTCCAATTGGATCTCGTCGAAGGAAGCCGATCTGACTTGCTTGGGCACTTCGAGACTGCTCTGGGTCTTCATTTCGTACGCTGTCGGTGTCCGGGATCTTTTGAATGTGGTCCGGATACGATGCATTATGTTTCAACGGGGTAAAATGTTTCCCCGATAACATAGGGGACGCATTCTAAAACAAAAAGATAAATAGTGTCAGTTATTGTATAATATAATATTGAGTATTGTTAAAGGTTAATTAGGTCAAGTAGCAGACTTTTTTCTACAGACGCAATTCTACCTAATGGGGGAGGTTGTCGCGTCCCTTTTTAAATTAAAAAGAGAGCATAAGAGGGCAGGTATACTACTATATCTAGTTTCGTTAAAATTTTACACATCAGTCAGGATTCCGCCGGGGTTACAGCTGCAATACGGCTTTGCTAGATATTACTGATGATATATTTAGAGATATTGATCATGGAAAGATAATAGTTTTGGCTTTAATAGACTACTCGAAAACTTTTGATACTATCAATCACCAAATTTTGTTACCTATTTTAAATTATTTATTGTTTCGGCCTTTACTTGATGAAAATCCATTTAATTTTGAAAGAGTAAAACCAAATTTGGTAGATTTTCACACTTTTAAAAAAGTGAAAATCTACCAAATTTGGTTTTACTCTTTCAAAACCTATTTTATAGTATATAGGTTTTTCCAATAACGTTACATTATTTTTTTAGAATCTATCTTTGTGGTCGGTGTCAGTTTATGTATGGGCGTCGTTTGCGGGGGGGGGGGGGGGGGCGGCAAGGGGGGCACATGATCCTCCGCATAGGAGGCCCTCCTTGTAGCAGAATCCCAGTAGCGGCTCCAAATCTCTAAGACTCCGACCGGAAGCTTAGAATTTCTATAGTGTGAATTAAAAGTGTTTTTGTATTTTGAATAAGGTTTGAAAGATATTTATTGGAGTTGGTAAGTTTATATATTGTATATTTATTATTGCATTGAGTCCATATTTGTGTATGTCCAGGTATGACATATTTTATATACTTATTTTAAATCTAATATATTAGTTTTAAAAACATTATATTTCTTTCAGCCCTTTTTCAGAGACGTGTTAGGTCCTGATGCCAAGATAGAATCCTTATACAGTTAAAGGAACGAAGTTAAGTTTAAGGTAATAAAGTTCTTACGGTATTTAAGCCCAGAGTGATATATTTTGTTGTTTAATCCCCAGGAAATAGTCCCATAATTATTAAATAGCACGTGACATTTTTATTAAAGAACACGTAAAACCTGACAATATTATTGAATCATTTATTTCGCTTTTCAACCACCAAATCACATTAACCTAACTATGTTTTGATAGAATGCTAAAGCGTTCGGAAAATAAATATAAGCTCAAGTTTCTCAAAAATCTCGTGATCAAGATTAACATCTTCGCGCTCGTATCTCTGAGGTGTAATACCGAATTCGCTGGTGGTTTTGCGTTTCTAGTTCAATATAAAGTTCAGTGAGCTCTACACATTTATTGATATTGACAAATGACGTTAGTTTGCAAACTTTCAGAACTGAGGTATAATCAATGAATTGGCAATTTTCCTGACTTCCCGAGCGATTCATTATACAGTGAGGACGTAAAGGTTGGAATAAATTCAAATAGTATTTTAACAAAATGCTTTTATAGGTGAATTTTCCTTCGCTTGTTCTTGATATAATTATTACATTGTAGCAGGGGCGGTCGGTCCATGGAAGCGGGGGAAGCACCGCTTCTCTACACTTTGAAATTTAAAAACAAATATTTTACAGTTTACAATGCATAAAAATTAATATTAAATTAGGTACTATATTTTCTCTGAAACATTACGTAAACTTCGTAAATGTACTAACAATTCATTGGTGTAATGTGTAAACGCACGCACCACCCATGAGAAAATTAATTGTGTAAACGTATACACCATATACTTCGACTCCGTCGGCGGAAGCGCGTCTTGAAATAGCCGGTATATCTTGCAAGTGATTTCGCTTAGTGTTATTGACCCGCTTTGTCGCGACAGTAGTCAGTCTGTTTGGACACGTGAAATACGGTCGAGAGGCAGCGATTATTACGTCGCCTTAGGCATATTGCAATTCGCACCGCGAATCGACGTGAGAGGTAGATTTTGATTTGTTTTTCGTAGTTGTTTTTCTTTTTGTAAAATGGAGGAACTATGCACTGTGAACAATAATAATGTGGTAAATTGTGTCTGTATTGTGTGCTCTTTATTGAAAAAAGGATTTTCAAGTAGAAATTTTGAAGAGAAAACGGACATTATTAATTCTAATAGACTAAAAGATCCTAATAGACTAAAGGATCCTATCAATTTAGAGACGAAAGCAGAAAAGTCAGCAAAGAAATGTATCAGGCATTTTCACGTAGGGTTCTATGAAAAGTATGAATGGTTAACCGGCTGCAAAACTCTGAAGAAATTGTTTTGCTGGCCTTGCCTACTTTTTAATATAGTCGAAAAAAACACATTGGAACTCAGTCGATATTACAGACTTGAATAAATTTCACAAAAGTGCAAAACGCCATGTAAATAGCAAATCTCATATAAGTGATACAATTCAAAAAAAAAAAACATTCGGGGGAGCTATCCCATTGAACATAGTTTGGACAATCATTTAAAAATAAGCAACAAAATTCACAATGAAAGGGTAAAAAAATAGGGACGTCTTACAATGATCAGTAGATGTAACTTGTTTCCTGGGAGAGCATGAACTAAGTTTTAGGGGTGAGTGAAGTTTTTCAGTTTTAAAGCGCATTAAAAGCTTTATACGAAATTCAACAAGTCAAAACAGACTCTATATACATTGAAAACAGCTTGTTAAACAGTTATCAGAAAATTTTACGACGATGTTATAGACAAATTTTCAGCCATTGGGATAGGCGAATAGATCTTAAGTATAAATAAATGTCAACTGCTGTGTCAACTGTGCGAAAAATGCTGGAGAGAATAAAAAAGACTTGAGTTAAATGTTTTTTTTAATGTTTAAATAAACCAAGGAAGCTTTTCAATGGTAAGTTTTTCACTGTTATACAGAAAAATATCGCTTTTATTCTAATCTATACGTCCTTACTGTATTTAAAGATAATGTTGGAACATCTATATATTTCTGGCTTTTAACATAAACAATAAAAAAGATTTTGACGTTACTGATAAAATCGCATATAGTTAGAAAGTTTTTGTTTCAACTACATTCACGAATTTGCCATAAAAGCATGAAAAATTAGTGAGAAAGTGCTACGGCAAATACTTTTTGTATTTTCATTCTCTAAATCGGCTGTATGAACCCAGAAAACTGACGGGCTTCAACAAAACAAAGCCAATTTTCTTGAAAAAAAAAGCGACGCAAAATAACGTAGCGCGGCTATTTCTCATTTACCGAGACAGGATTTTTTTTTATAAAAAGAATCGGAACGAAATTTTCCTCAGTTAAGATTAATGAAACATTAAGAATCAATATAGCCACTTTCTTATATTTATCATCCTCTAATCTCAAAGTCATTATTTAAAACACTTGGCAGTTTTCTCGTTCGAATATTTATACAAGGTGATTCAATCTTTCAATTAATCTTCTTGCTGATGATACTTTATTGGCATGTTCTAATACAAATTTAATGGTAGTAGTCGAGAAAATTGAGATTAATAAAGTTGGTCAGTATTTTCAACTCAACAAAATTAATATTAAATGTTACGATTTAGTAACATTTCATTTTAATCCTTCGATTGAAAATAATACTAACTTTTTGTTTGGACAGGAAAGTGTATTCATAAAGTATCCTTGTTTTTATGTCTGAAAAATGAATAGGAAGAAGAGGCCCTACTAATTGCGCCCTAGATCACCCGACTAGCCAATCTTATAGGGATAGGTTAAAAATGTAGTTTAACTGAACCTTCCACCGCAGAAGATATGAAAACACGCATTCCAGATGAGTTTGCTATTATTAATTTAGAGAATTTAAGTAATGTAAAATATTATTTTAAAAAGCATTATTATTTGAAAATATAAGGAATTTAATAAAATTTCTAAAATAGTATGTTTTAACTTAATATTCAGAAGAAAACGCACATATTGAAATAAAACAAACAACTAGATTATTACTCTAGTCAATGGCTTACATTGAACTAAAGAATTATCCAAGGTAGTACGTTGACATTCTAAAAAGTAAAACTGTCACGTAAATTTTGGTTTTAAATAGAAACGCTAGTCTAGAGAAAAGAGACTTGAGTAAGGACTGTTGTTCGAAACTCTTGCCGAAAGGCGAGACACTCGTTTTGGGACCCTAAGTGTCGAAACACCGTAATGTATAAAGTAAGGCTTTGGGCAGCGATTTTAGTACTGTAGGTAAATAACTTAAACTTATTTTAAAAGTATTTAACAAGCACGAAAAGAAGAAAAAGACGAGAAGTGCAAGATGTGCGAATAAACACATCTTGGCGGATTTAAAGAGGTTTGAACTGCCCAAAAAGAAGCAGATTAAATAAACATTAAATGGACATTAAAAAGTGATTAAATATATTAATGTTGGAATACTTACAGCCGTATGCATAGACGATCGCCAGCGACTCGCCAGATATTCATTTCGGCGTATCGCCAGCGATGCGCTGGCGAAAGCCCGAAAAGGTGGCGACGCGCTGGTGATTGTCACCGGCATGTCATTTCACGCAAGTTTTCATGTTCTTTTATAGGGAAATATTTAATATTCGTTCATTGTTTTTTGAGGTTTAAGAAATGAATCATGAATAAAATTCGAGAGATTCCGGTGATAATCCCTATAAAAGAACATGAAAACTTGCGAGAGATGACATGCCGGTGACAATCCCCAGTGAGTCGCCACCTTCTCGGGCTTTCGCCAGCGGTTCGCCAGCGATACGCTGAAATGAATCTCTGGCGAATCGCTGGCGATCGACTATGCATACGGGTGTTAATGTGTTTTAGATATTCGACAAGGAGCAGTAGAGTTCCAGAAGAAAGACAAGAAAACAGTAGAAAGTTTGGGACAACGAATCGAGGTATTTTTCTGATCAATCCCAAGTAGTGTACCGAACAATACAATAGATGAGAGGAAGAGACATACAGCGTTACCACAAATTGGGAACAAATGGGTTGCTGTAGTTTCCGACCAGCCCTAAGCAACGCCCTTTGAT